GTTCCCGTATTTGATTTGGACAATCGAATCAAGTGAATACCCGATCGGGTATAGGCAATACCCGACCGGGTACATGAGTATTTTTTCCAAATCAAAATCTTTCTTGTCTCCTTGCACTTTCCTTGTTCTTTTAAGGTCCAATCTTGATCCCTTCGATGATCTTTGACCTGTTTAGCTCAGAATAATCCTAATCTAAACAAATTACAAATAAAAATGAAAATAAAATATTACACCAAAAGTGTGTAATTTCCACAACTACAACTAATAAAAACTAGTTAAAAATACAAAAATACAATCGGAAATTACACGAATATCAGTCATCCTCTTCAGGTACGCCGTTCCCTATATCTCACTATATTACTTGTGATTCATTTTCTTCGAAACATCAAGCTTACTTGGCAGCTCTTAATTCCGTTACGGAGCCATGCTCCTTTAATGATGCTGTTAAACATGATGGATGGCGTGATGCTATGCGTGCCGAGATTCAAGCTCTTGAAAATAATTCCACCTGGAGTCTTGTTCCTTTGCCTCCCGGCAAACGTGCATTGGGTTGTCGGTGGGTTTATAAAGTGAAACACAAATCTGACGGCACAGTTGAGCGTCTCAAAGCTCGCCTTGTTATTTTTGGGAATAGGCAGGTTGCTGGCCTTGATTATACAGAAACATTTGCTCCTGTTGCTAAAATGGTGACTGTGCGCGCTTTCCTGGCTATAGCCGCTACTAAACATTGGGAACTACATCAAATGGATGTTCACAATGCTTTTCTACATGGCGACTTACATGAGGAGGTCTATATGACTATTCCCCCAGGCTACAAAACTGCTGATTCCGGACTGGTCTGTCGTCTTCATAAATCCTTATATGGCCTCAAACAGGCTCTGCGATGTTGGTTCGCGAAATTGGTAACGGCTCTCAAGAGTTATGGTTTTCTTCAGTCTTATGCGGATTATTCCTTATTTACTCTTACTCGGGGGGCGGTTCAGCTTAATGTTCTTGTTTATGTGGACGATCTTCTTATCTCTGGCAATGATGGTGTTGCTATTACTACTGTCAAATCATATCTTAATGATTGTTTTCACATGAAGGATTTGGGCCCTCTCAAGTATTTCTTGGGCATCGAAGTGGCTCGTAGCTTGACTGGAATTTTTCTTAACCAGCGAAAATACGCCCTGGACATTATCACTGAAACAGGTCTTCTGGGAGCAAAACCTGCTTCTTTTCCCATCGAGCAGCATCATTCCTTGGCCACCGCTACTGGTCCACCTCTTGAGGATCCTGAACAGTATCGTCGTCTTGTTGGACGACTTATTTACTTGGCTGTCACTCGTCCTGACATCACCTACTCAGTACACATTCTCTCTCAATTCATGCAACAACCCCTCACTGACCATTGGCATGCTGCCTTGCGAGTTGTTCGCTATCTGAAAGGTTCGCCTGGCCAAGGGATTCTTCTTCGTGCTGATAGTGATCTTTCTCTTACTGGTTGGTGTGATTCTGATTGGGCAGCTTGCCCTACTACCCGTAGATCACTCTCTGGCTGGCTTGTTTTTCTTGGTCACTCACCCATCTCCTGGAAAACCAAGAAACAATCCACTGTTGCTCGTTCTTCCGCTGAAGCTGAATACCGCTCTATGGCAGCAGCCACTTGTGAATTAAAATGGCTAAAAGCTCTTCTTTTGAGTCTTGGAGTTCAACACCCTCAGGCTATTCCTCTCTATTGTGATAGTCAATCTGCTCTTCACATAGCTCAAAATCCTGTGTTTCACGAGCGTACCAAACATATCGAGGTTGACTGTCACTTTGTTCGTGATGTTGTTCAAGCCGAGATCATTGCTCCCAATTACGTTCCTACTACCATTCAACTGGCAGATATATTTACTAAAGCTCTTGGCAAGACTCAGTTTCAGACTCTCCTACACAAGTTGGGCATTCTGAATCCCCATGCTCCAACTTGAGGGGGGTATTGGGAGATATTTTGCATATATATTATTTAAGGATAGTTTTTTTATTATGGTTGGAATATTTTCTACATTTAATGTTTGTTATTTCTAGCCATGTAATACGGATGACCGACTCAATTAGATTGGCATCCACTCTTGTATTTAAACAAGGCCGATTGGCTCTCAAAACGATGAAGCAATATTACTCTTAAACTCTTCTTCCTAATTTTCCTAACCTGCGTATTACACGAGGTTAATAGTTCCAGATGAATCGTCGCGCACGGTGGAAGACAGAGGCAACTGCAGAAGAAGATGAATAGGCACTTGGGGAGCAACGAAACAAGAAGATGTTCTTCATCCGGAAGGGTAAATTTGTCTTTTCAGTGAAATAATCAGCTTTCGCTCAAAAAGCAAACACTAACTTGAATAACTCGATCGAGTTTTGCTACTTATTTAACGCTTTAACCCCTTAATTGCCATGCAAAATGTATGATTGATACCTTTTTCAAATAAAAGGTTCGAATGGGAGAGCTTTTCTGAGGAGCCGAATTTAACATTTGGAAGGGAATAGGGAATTATCCGACCTTTTAACCTATAAGGCTATGACCAATGTTTGACCATATCATATTCGTATGACATCATTGTTGTACCGTTATTAACTTGATATGCTTTTACAAACAAGTTACCGAGTTAATTAATGTAACAATTGGATCCAACTAATTGGTAGGAAGAGAATATAATACATTACTCATTACATTCTATAAATCAACTTTAACTTCAAATTATTTTAGTTTTGATCCATATTGGTGGTTGTTTTATGATTGTCTACTCTAAAACTATGAATCGTACATGATATATTCCGTATATAATACATATCATTAACACTATAAAAATGTACTACGTATAATGTTAAAAAAAACTGATGTTTTTCCAAATCGTGATATGTAAGCTAATTTGCAGTGCTTAATAAGGGGGTTAAGGTAAGTGGTTCTAAAGTTGTACCCGAGAGAATAATTACGCAGCCCACTGCCCTATTGCCTATATAAATAAACTTCACTTATTATTCTTGGCCAAATCCTTAACGCTTGATGTATTTTTTAGTTATGAGTATTATGAATGGTGGATGATTTATGGATGTTTACTCTAAAAATTCTGAACTATGGATGGCATAAATCTTAATGAACTTCTAAATGAAAAAGATGACATTCTATTTTGCAATATTTTCAAACTATGCTTGTGCAAGCCGAGTTTCACCACAAAGAAACGGGCATTTTGTCACGGAGTTTGTTTGGGACGATAGCGTAAAAATCTCTAACAAACGATTTTGTTAGGAATTTTATTAGGGATCTTGGTCTTGGCGTCAGCGACCTGACAAAACCTTGTACGGATAAGAAATATGCGACAGATTTTGTTAGAAACTTGTTAGGGAGTGATCCCAACCAAGGGTCGCCTGACCGCCGGTGAAATTTGTCAGGATTACTATCCCTAACAAAATAATGAACCGATTGGAAATTTGTTATGTAGTATTTCCTATTTTTCGTTTATGGAATATTTTAGGTGTGAAGCTAAGTAGCTCATGAGCCTTGATTAGTCCCCAAATTACAACATGTTAGGAGACAGTCAATCAAGTGATCAACTAATTAATTAAGTTAATAATTATCTTAATGTACTTTTATGGATGAGTGTTTTTTTTTTTTAATCCTTGAATAGCATGACCCCAACATGCACGACTATGTAGATGACATGCCCGTCAAGCTAAGGTAAACTAATGTTTAGAATATTTTTTTTCCTTTTCACCATTTCCGAGGGATAAGATAACTTTCTAATCTGTTTGCAACAGTTTCTGCTTTTAAAAAAGTTCTTTTTTTAATGAAATGGGGAGAAGTGATTAAATAAAAGTTGACAGTGTTTGAGAAAAAGGTGATTTTGAAAAGTAAAAGTGGGTAGTGTTTGGTAAAATAAGTGCTTTTTATATAATAGAAAAAGTAAAAGCACTTTTGACGCGGAAGCCGAGAAAAATAAAAGTTGTAGTGTTTCGGAAAATAAGTACTTTTTTAAAGTCAAAAGCTGAGAAGTGCTTTTTTAAAAACAGTTGCAAACCAACCCTAAGAGCATCCCCAATGCATTATCGTCTAGTGCAGATTTTATATGCCACCTCATAAAATTGGACATTGTGTATCTAGGCATGGCAATGGGTCGGGCGGGGCAGGTCAGGTCGGGTCTTTTATATATTTATATATATATATATATATATATATATATATATATATATATATAGAGAGAGAGAGAGAGAGAGAGAGAGAGAGAGAGCTATTCCTGTCCGGAAATTCAGCCCCGTCCGGCCTCCTCCATTTGGGGGGCCTTCCCGGTGGTATTTTTTGCTCAAATATTTTGTGTATATGTTCATCATCAAGTCTAGTTCATCCATACCAAATTTGAGCAAAAAGTTCAATCGGAAAGTTCTTCAAATGATTTTTGCAAGTTAACTGGTCCGGAAAATACATATTCCGGACCAGTTAACTTGCAAAAATCATTTGACGACCTTTTCGATTGAATTTTTTGCTCAAATTTGGTATGGATGAACTAGATTTGATGAGAAACATACACAAAATATTTGAGCAAAAAATACCACCGGGAAGGCCCCAAAATGGAGGAGGCCGGACGGGGCTTCAGTCAGGAAATTCGTGACCGGAATATTTGTGTGTGTGTGTGTGTGTATGAGTGTATATATATATATATGGTTTTTCTAATTTGTTCCCCCCACCCCCAAACCACCCAACCCAACCCGCCTACCCCTATTCCATTCGAAAAACAAAAAAAAAAAACTTTTTGGGCCGGACCGGTCCCAAGAGGGCTCGAGCCCGTGACCCGCCCCCAACCCCCGTCCGGGCCCCAGGGCCGGGCCGGTACCGCACAGTGGCGGTCCGGGCCGGGCACCGGGCCGGGCCGACCGGTCCATGTCCCACCCCTACGCGTATCAAAAGTATCTATATTTTTAAAAATAATTCCAATACATTTATTAAATTACGGATATGAACTCAATACATATAGGACGCGTATCGGAGAGTATCGGTATCGGGTAAGAATCAGATACGTGAATACAATATCATGGTGAAGTATCGGTGCATCATAGTTTACGTCTACTAAGAAATAAAAAACTGTGTGCATCTGAATTTCAATAACAAATTTAATATTATTTTAGTTCCCTTTCCATTCTCATTATACAGACAGAACATAACGAACTTTAACTATAACTAGTGCTTTATAAGATCCAAACCTGCTTCACCGTGACTCTGTGGTCTCATTGGAAACTAGGAATCCTTCAAATCTGCCACATGTATATGTTAGGAATCGCTTTATGGCACAACTATTTTCTAATGGAAACACATCGTGTACACATGTATCTGATAGAATTGTAATCGACTAATAATCATTTTAACAAAACATTTTATAACAAAGAATCTTCCATGCTATATATAACATGACTTTCAAAGAAGTAGACTGCTAATAAGCTTTGGATGTAGTTGAGTCACCATATAACAGATTGACAACGTCCTCTGCTCCATTGTTTGGGTTCATAAACCTTCCTTCCAATGCCCGGGAGATCGTCTGACATATACAGGTCTGTTTGGACTTTGGATGGAGGGTTTTGGAGAGCACTTTGTATGGTGTAGACACGTAGTCTCTCTTTTTATATAAATTGCATTGTAATTTTTTTGAAAGATTAACATAGTATATGGCTATATGCGATCACTCCGATCAGTGCTTTGAAAAAATGTCTGCCATCTAACAGTCTGGATGAAGGGATCCAGAGGGAAACACTTTGAAGGACTTGCTTGTAAAAGTACATGATCATAAACATTCCAATCACCTTTTATTCGTTTTCAGAAACATCTGCTTCATTAAGATATAGAGCCGACTCTAACAAAGCTTCTATTCCGAACCCTTCCCGTCCACACAGACCCTAAAGCTTATAAGTTTTATTCAAGTTTTACATCACTGCTCCCCTTCAGATTCTGCAACTTCTTTTACATTATTGATGTTATCCGAGCTGCCCTTCATTTCAAGCAGCTTTTCTTGTTCCTCCTCTACCATCTGTGGGCTCGTATCTCCCGCACCCTTCTGTTTATTGCTTGTCGTTGACCGTTGGTACATGATGCCACCACACATGCATATTAACAGCCCCACAGTACCAACAAAAGAAGAGTGTTTGTCCCATATGACAAGATTTATAACAACAGTCAACAGCTTGTTAACTATGCCAAGCACAGTGAACCCAGTGGCGGAGATCGCCTTACGACAAGAAAATCCGAAGAAAGAAATGGACAAACCAAACAGGCACGAGAGACCCACAGGAAACAACACTTGAAATCCGTACCAATCTGATTCATCTGTAATCTCATGTTTAATCTTCTTCAGTTCTCCCATTATGAGGAGCTCAATGGGGAAAAGAAGAAGCGCCTCAAGGTTGTTATACAGCACTAGGCCCCACGTGTTCAACCCAATAGTCATGACAACGTGCTTGATGTAGACAAAGTCAACTGACATGCTCAGCAAGTAAGCCAATGCCCAACCATATGCGGTTAGAGTGATCTGGTAATCAGTGATGACATAAACCACACTACCAACAAAGATGGTGCCTAGGGACAAAAACGTTCGTATCGTCGGCCAAGGCTGGTGGAGGTATAAAGTCTCCCCTATTGCCACAAAGATTGGCACAGCCGATCTAAAGACAATAAAAGTGTCAACATTGGCATGGAGGAGAAGTTCACTGTTTGTGAAAAGGGATAGGTAAAAAATTATTGCCGCGGGTAAGAATCTCCATAATGTGAGGAGGTCAAGACTGTCGCGTTGGATTAAGTTTAGCCACCCACAAACAAGGACTCCAAAAGCACTTGTGAAGTACTGAAGGGCAGTTAGGGCACCCGGGTAAGGGAATTTCATTATAGCCCATTTGTTTATGATGGACAACAGAGATGCTGACATACAATAGCCTACTGCTATGCCATAAACAGATGCTTGATGAAGTAAGCTATCATACCAGGTTGACTGGACATCATGTGGAGGAGTATGAAGTGACTTGGTATTTTCATCTTTAGGATTCTCAACATCATCAGACATCTGAGTTTCTACTGTAAGAGTAAAGAAAATAAGTTGTTATTCATCTAGTCATTTGCAGTAAAAAAAGGGAAAATTGCTGAAATAAGAGAAAACAATATAAAATTTCAAAATAGAAGTAAAAGCAATGTAAAATTTCAAAATAGGAGAACTATGTTTCCCCCCCTAGAGATGAGTAAGTTACTGTCATACTGGCAATATCCTACCATAATTGGCAGTATTTCCCAAGCATGTCAGTTTTACTCCATTTAGGGAATATAAACAAGGCGATCCTATTTTGGAATTGTGAAATGCTTTTACTCCTATTTAGGACAATTTCTTCATAATTTTTTTGTCTTTCTAACTATGGAATACAAAATAGATGGTTCTGATAATTTTATATAAATATTAGGTATTCCTCATGTTTATGATTAAGCTTTCATTTCATATGTTCTAATTTACCTTTTCTTAGATTCTTTTCGAATTTATAAAACAAATCATATTAGTGACCAACTGAGCATTGTTGTTTTCTTTAGAAAAATGATCACAAGTTACCGTTACGGTCTTCTAAATGTCAATTAACCAACTCAAGAACCAAATGTTTTATTTGAAGTGAAGTCATGAGTTATTGCATACAAATTAAAAGTGGAACAATAATATACTGGGTACTAATATACAAAAGCAAAGAGAAATTTCCTATAGTGTTCCTGCCTATAGAGTTCCACATGAATAAATAAACCTTATAGCATAGAAAAAATCCAAAAAATATGAATAATAATGCAAAGCAAAAGATATCAGGCAGCTACTTCTTGAGCCATGTACCAAGCTCGATAACACATCCACACTAAATGCAAAGGCACAATCACAACATAACTTCCCTATAAATAGTAGCACATAGCCCTTCCAAAAGTTACTCTAAAGAGGTCTAGATGATACACACAGACCCTTATATGAAAATTTTTAAGAATTCCGAGAGAGAAAATCCAAGAATAAATATAAAATTGTTATATTTGTTTAGAAAATAAGTCAAAAATCCTCAATAAGGTGAACAATAAATCAAAAATCCTCAATAAGGCGAACAATAAGTCAAAAATGCACTTCAGTTTAAAATATAAATCCTAAATTGAAACCGAGAAAAGGGCGGACAAGATATTATTGATGCAAAATAAGTGAACACCATTACTTTTAACTTGTTAGACATTTACACAATACAATCAAGGTTTGAGCGATTATGCTGACAAATCTGAAATTGAGGGCAGTGGGGATAGTGAGTGAGGATTGAAGCCGAGCAGATATCAAGGAGCACTTCATTAGCCTTCTGACTTTCAGGGGCGAGGATTACAGGATCATCATTTTTATGTGAGTGAAAAAAAATTATTATATTTATGGATCATCATTTTTGGAAGTACATTATAAATTCTTAAATCATAAAAATGAAATTCCATTTCATATATAATTGGTATGCAAAATCGAAGAATAAAAAGTAAAAATTGTTGAGCAACAAATAGTAAATTGAAAATGCCTAATGAGATGTAGAAAAAATATTTTTATTTATATCTTTATGCACAACTGGGTGAAAAAATTGTTGTATTTTTCATCATGCACTAATTACATATCACATATGAATACACACAATTAAACAGATATAACCCCCGATTTATTATTTAAAGTTTAAACAAAGCTAATGAGACGGGTTAAAAAAATTTGTGGAAAGGTGAATGATGAAAATCACAACTGAGGGCTAGGAAGGTGATAGACAGGACAAATGGGGGCTGACCTGTTTTGCCCGCCACAAAAAATATATGAGTGGGAAATTTTTTTGTCCACAGAGTTGGACCTAACTAGGGGTGGTTCAGTATAGTATTATGAATTTTTATAACATACTGAATACCGTTCTGAAAGTCCGAAACATTGGTATATGAAAAATTCATACCTTTACTGTACCAAAAATATCAGTATAAACTCCTAGCATTTTATAAACTCATAGCATTTTATGCTGAAATTTTGGTATAGCCAAATATTTGTTGAAACTCTATATTTGGACAATAACCTCCTCTTTGCAAACAAATTTATATGTAAATATAGAGTGATTAGAGTCATGAACATCAAGAGCAACTATAAGAAAAGCTATTCTCTGGGCAGATTGAGCAAATTTTGAGAAACAGAAAGACAAAAAGCAAAAGCTAAATTAAGAGCAGCAATGCAAAGAATGAAAACTCTTTATAGCAGTTTGAGTAATTCAAAAAACTGCATTTTATATGCCATACAGAAATATATGCAGCTGGAGTAACTCAAATCTTTAAAAAATATATTGAGTTACTCAAGCTCTAGTAACTGAATGTCTGAACCTGAATGACATAGTCAAATATATACAAAGTAGAAGCTCCATTCGAAAGAAAAGAAGCTTAAAGTAGAAGCATTCAAAAATTCTTTAGAAGAGCTTACCTGTTTGTTGAAAACTCAATAACCAGTGCAAGAAGACAGCAAAAATATAAAAAGCTGAACTACCTAAGGTCTACTTAATTGCCTTCCATATGCAATGCAAGGTTATTTTGCAACCAAAATGTTTCTACACATCGAGTCATCACTCATCATAGGGAAAGAAGTAGAAAAATGCAAAAAAAAATGTAAAAGAAAAGAAATAAGATTCAATTTTTAAGGTACTCTAAACTGTCTATTCATTCTCACACTTCAATTCTGTCCCTCACCGCATCTTCATTTCCTTGTCACATTAATCATAATACATTACAGACATTATCCTTATTGTTTGTCAGCTCAAAAACGTATTTGCATATCTTCATTACCAACCTTTATAAGCTTTACAAAGCAGACTAAAGTAAAATAGCATGGGCACCTTCAGCTGAGCTATGAAACACGCCCCTTTTGATGATTATACAAGTCCACGGGGAAGATGAGCCGCAGCCCGCAGGTAGGATTATTATAAAAGCAGATACGGAGTAAATTAAACAGTGGTTGGTGTTTAGAAAATGGGGAGAATCGGTGACTACCCTCTTAGGTTTCTCTAGTTGTATTAAATTTTTAGGATTAAGACCAAATCAAATACATTACCTTTGTTTAGGACTTAGGAGGGTATTCGCTATCAAATAACTGAGATACGTGCTTGCCGTGCTTCGTTGGACTGTGTGAGCTTCGTCCTTCTTCGTCGTCCAAAGCTTTCCACATCCGTAGTTGAGAGTTGTGACTCGGTCCGGTCTTTGCTTGTTCGTTCGTTATCTGATGGCTTCCTTCGCGGCTTCGCTCTAAGCTGGTTCGTTCGTCGAGATCGGATCAATACTAGAAGCCTCAAGAGGCTGTCGACTGCTCTCTTCCCGTAGCTCTGGGCTTTTAAGGCGTGTTTGGATTGAGTGTTGATAGGATTGAGTGTGGATGGAGATCGGATTGAGTGTCAGTAATGGAAGTGTTAGTAAGTGTTGATGTAACATTTGTTTGAGAGAAAAATTCAGAAGTGTTAAGAAGTGTTAGTAATGGTTAGGAAGTGTTAATAATAACCTTCCCAACACCTCAATTGTCCATTTTTTTTAACACCCCGATTTGGAGTGTTTTGAGGTGTTGGACAATTATTACCCTTCTCATTTACCCGAAAAACATAAATGCTTCGACATTTCACTTCGAATGTCTTTCCCACGGGTCTGATGGTTTGTTTTTTCATCTTTTCTCTTTACTCATTTCTTTTACCTCAAGGTAAAATTATTAACACTTCCATTATTAACACTTCATTCATTTGACTCTCCCAAACAAGGTAAAATTATGTCTAACACTTACACTTTCCTTCCCTTCCGAGTCCTTACTAACACTTACTAACATTTCCATTACTAACACTTCAAAACACTCCATCCAAACATGCCCTTATATACTACTTCCTTTCAAATTGCTTTGCAAAGGTCAAGCATTTCTTTATCAACAAATTTCAAAGTTAAATTCTCCAATCTCCATGATTAAATTTAATAATCAATTCAATTTTAATAATTAAATTTATATATTCACAAACTACATTAAAATTTCTATAACATTGCAAAATCCAAATTAAAATTTAATTAAGAATTAATATCTAAATAAATCATTACCCTTTGATCCAAAAACGTCAATTTTGCAACGCAATTTGGTACAGCCATACAGGGGAGTATATAGTTTGGCGAAATGTTTTCTAAATCAATGATTTATTTAAGTGACTTCCCGATTAAATTTTAAATTGGAATTCTGTGGCCGTAATTAACATTTCATGAAAAGAAATGCTAAAAAAAATTATTAAAAAGTTCACCGTGAACCACCCAAAACGGCGGCGGCCGGACAGAAGGTCCTGCCCATTTGGCTGGACAGGATCATTACGTGAAACTGGATTGTAAAATTTGATGTGTATTACGTGAAATTGGATTGTACATTAGGTGAAATGAAAATGTGCAACATAAAGGGTACCCTACCATATAATGATATTATGTAAATAAATTGAAGTGTGTATATGAAGCATGGAAAACTAAAATGTGCTCAATAAAAAGCATGATGTGGTGTCATTTTTATACATTTTGTTCTACATATTTAAATTTCATGTAATGCACATTTGAGTTTTATCTTTTATTCTGCACATATTGATATCACCTAATGCATATTTCATTTCACCCAATGCACATTACAATTCTGGTCCGGTCCCAATTGCAATGTTTTAATTGTTTTTTAATTAAATGTGTGGTAATGACTCGGGCCCGACCCGAGCCCTGTACTATTTGAGCCTTGACCGGAACCGGTACCGGAGCATACCAGACCGGTACCAGCCTCCACTTTTCCAGAACCGGTACCGCCCTGGGCCCCTGGCCCAACCCAAGTCCATCCCTAAGTTTACACGCGAGTTTATATAAAAGGACAGCTCATGCATAAGTTATTCAAATATTTGTGAATAAATTGCTACTCATCAAATCTTTAAAATAAACATTGTTTAAAAAATATTGTTTCAAATGTGCAAAGCATTGTGGACTTGTGGTGTATAAGAAGCATGGAATGTTAATCGGCTAAATAATATACGAGTATAAGCCAGTTAATTGGAGGAACTTGGAAGTTGGAGCAATGAAACGATGTTTTATGATTTTTTTCTTGAAAATGATACTCCGTAGTATAAGCCAAGTAAACCTGGCTCGATTACTAACTGGTTGTCGTGACCCACCCAGTTGGATAAAAATAATTATTTCTGTAGTCACTTGCATAGAATCTTCATAGCAGAGTTCGCAGCTTCCCTAACTCAAAGACCAAAGTACAAAATTCATCTCATTGATTTGGACTTCCCTTATGCCCATTACATATCGTAAATTGTTGTTTTATCTTAATGTCTTAGGGAGTATAATTCTATAATTTCGTGGTTTGTGAAAATGCCCATCGGAAAATAGGAGTATGACCATAATACCAGAAGCTAAAAAACGGCCTTGACTATGAATCTTATGATCATGAATAGTATACACTGCAAAATAATACTCGTAGCACAAATGCCCAACTTCACAGCTACTGATTCGGCAAAATCAACTATACATGTCATTTTCCTTTCTCTCTCGGCCTCTCCTCCTGTCACTATGACTTCCCTGCCACCAAAACAATATGGACTTTAATTCCATACCAGAGACCTTTGTTTAAGCATATGGTAGTTCAAAATCATTGAAGACCCAGTTATCTTCATCTGATTTATAACCACCCTCCTCCTGAGTTCTATCCATGACCCCTTGTTGAAATTTTGGTTGGAAGCGCCTGTTAACAATGAGAGGAAACAAGCCTTTATCATCTTTTATTGTCAACAGCAAATCATTGTAGAGGCCAAGGTGGTCGACTGTCAAAGTCGAGATGCGCACTCAAGGTGCTAGAATACTCATCTCGCCTGAGGCACGAGGCACAAGGCACAAAAAGGCACTCGCATGGCTCATGTCAAGTGCACTGCTTGGAAAATATATGTATACTATTCTAGAATTACCAAATATGATGTATTCAATATTATTTTGAACTAAATGCACTATAAAAGTCCTACTCACAAAAATAAAGTCATGATTCACATTAACAAGACACCAACTCAGAAGCCATAACTCTTCAGTCTTAAATAATAAGGGTCTGTTTGCAACTGCTTTAAAAAAACACTTCTCAGCTTTTAGCTTTAAAAAAGCACTTATTTTCCCAAACACTACAACTTTTATTTTTCTCGGCTTCCGCGTCAAAAGTGCTTTTACTTTTTCTATTACACAAAAAGCACTTATTTTACCAAACACTACCCACTTTTACTTTTCAAAATAACTTTTTTCTCAAACACTATCAACTTTTATGTAATCACTTCTCCCCATTTCATTAAAAAAAACACTTTTTTAAAAGCAAAAGTTGTAGCAAACATAGGGAGTGTTTGCAATTGCTTCGACTTTAAAAAAGTGATTTTTTAAAGTGATTTTGGGAAAAGTGATTAATAGTAAAAGTTGGTAGTGTTTGAGAAAAAAGTGATTCTGAAAAAGTAAAAGTTGGTAGTGTTTGGTAAAATAAGTACTTTTTGTGTAATAGAAAAAGTGAGAAGCAGTTTAAAGCACTCTTCTACCTGCTTCTAGCTTTTAGCTTTTAAGTGATTAATTTAAGCAGAAGCTGTCATTTGAAAACACTCTTTTCAACTTTTTTTAAGCCAAAAGCTGAAAAGTGCTTTTTTTAAGCAACCCCAAACACTCTTATACCCTAAAACTAAAACCTAAATTCAGTTACATTCTAGCGCAATTCTCAAGTCACAACTCTCAAGGATCATCAACAATTAAAAGTGGAGACCATATTCTATTAAAAGTATTAGACTCACAACTCTTAAGAAATAAAGATACAGAAATTTTAAATGAAAAGATATAAATACAGAAAGAACAAATAGATCACATTTTCAAAATAATATAGAAATAAGAAAGAATGCAGAAGTGAAAAGAACAAGAAGATGAGAACAGGAAGACGAAACATTTAATACTTTTTAATACTCTTTTATTACTATTTAATATGCACTGACTGAGAAGGATTTAATATGCGAAGGAGGAGGAGGTTACCATTTAACGCAGAAGAGCACTTTTTATTACTATAGTTTCGGCATAATCTTTCATACACTGACTGAGAAGGATTTATGTTTTGGTATACTCTTTAATACTCTTTTATTATTTGGATGGGCTATATCTTAATAAGAAAATGGGTTTATTTAAAATAGGCCATAATCTTATATGCAAAAAAAAAAAGCTGAGAAGCCTTTCCTAGTCCAGGCACGACAGTCGACAGGTGTGCATTTCTGCTCCTATGCGCTTTATATGTGCCTGAGGCATATCACAGCGCCTGGAGAATATTGAGGCGCTACCCATTTTCAGCGCCTTGCCTGGTGCATTTAAGTGCTCAGGCAAGCGCTTTTGACTAAACTTGTAGAAGCAATAGTGTTATTATATATTATATATTTATATACATATGCATGCATCTCACTGGTGTATTAGACCCAGGCAACACATATAAATGGTTTGCCGTTCAACTTGAATTGTTCAAAATTGATGTACAAAGTACAAACTAACATGCACTCTTATATTTCATGAAAATTTAGAGGAAGAATCGTGCAATACTACCTGCCCAAATTTATATATACACAAAAAGTCATGCTCACGATGTTTAAATTCAAATATAAAGAAATCTATTTATTAGACAAAATTTTGCACTACCGACCTTCGAAATCTACCTCAGTAATAACTACTGGGAAAAAATAAATAAAAATCTGAATTCTGAAATGTTAAAAAAAATGACCGGGAGACTACCATGGAAATGCTAAGTGAGTGTAAATTTAAGGAATGCATACTGATTTTCAAAATTGTCCATCCCTTCAATTTTAAACTTCAAAACTTCAAGATTGAAAGTAGAAGACTTACATCCAAGTAAAATCGCAATTCTCAATTAAAAAGGAATCCTTTCATGTCAACAAGAAGCTTGGAGGCCAGCTTTGAAAAGAAAAAAGAAAAAAAGAAATAAACTCGAGAATTAGTTGTTTGAACTTTAAAATCTTCCTTAACTGAACAAGACACATGCAACTAAGTTCCTCTTTCCTTGATTCCAATAGAACCTTTGAGACAATGAGACCATTTCTTAGTTTCAGTATTACAAAAGTTAGGAAATGGATCTCCAACATTTGTGACTCAAAACTTCAGAATACTACTCCCTATACTGTTTATCAGTTATCACTTCATCCACTGAAAATTCTTGCAATGGTAAATCAATTACAAGTATCATAGATACTTCTAAATGGTTAACAAAAGCACACGTGTTTTCTTTGCTACCAGGTAGAGCAATATAAATGTAGTCCATCTAAAGTCTTACTTAATACCGTTAAATCCATAAGGAGGGCAACAATCCATTCTTAACTAAGCAAAAACCTTAGCACCTTTAATAGAGATATAAGATATTTGTGCGGAGATGGAGCTATCTATTTAAATATGGATCTATCAAGCTACTCAGTTTCTAAACTTTACATATCACATAGTCATGAATTTTCTCCAGGCGCTGTGATATGCCTCAGGCTAGCCATGAAGGTAAAGTAGCTTAGCCATGAACTAGGCCGCGATTCCTAACACTCCCTCCCCATAAAAAAAGACTCAACTAGCTTCCAGAGCGACCACGCTCTAACCAAATGATGAAACGCTAGCATTCCCGCTTTATAAAATTTAAAGAAACCTAAAATTACTCATTTATATTTACCTTCATGAATTTTGATTTTATTTCTTCGTTTTACTGCTATTAAACTGGCTAGAACTACATCTTCATAGTGAGCTTGGCAAACCAATGAGACATACTGCATGTAAGGAGCACTTATCTCATTTATGTTTCCTAAATACTTGTATATGTCATATACTGCTTTATATGGGTAATAAGTCCAATGATAATAGCACTTACTCCGTATGTTAAACAATCCTTGCCTCTGATAAAGGAAAAATTCATTCAACCGCAATGCCCATAATTCAAATAATAATTTAGCCACAGAATTATCATGAAGAAATAGTACTATGTTCAGTTCGGATACAAACACACACACTTCGTATGTATAAGAATGCTTGATAAGGTTGATGGTAAAGCAATAACCTTTTCCGGTTGCGCCTGGCAGCATTGCGAGATTTGCGTTTCTTCTTATCCTGATTGGACTCAAAGAACCTCCGGTATCTACATTCCTGGAGAACTCCTGCCCTGATGACCTCTCGGCGGAAGCGACCAACGAGACTCTCTTCCGGCTCGTTCTCTTCGACAATGATCTCAACATTGCAGGGAGACTTGAAGAAGTGGACGTCCTGAAAGTCGAGCGAGGGAAGCGAGACCGATGAAATCGAGCGGCGATTATGGTCGGGTTCGATTGCTGCGGGCAAATGCGAAGAGGAGAGGTGTGGCATACGGAGGGAGGCGGCGGAAGAAAGTGACAGATGATTGGCAGGTTTTGAATTGGCGTTTATGTAAGAAGGGTTTTGGGGAGAGAAAAAACGGAGGGCCCTGGAAACGGAAGATGAAAACGATAGCATTGCTCTTTGCTCTCTTCTTCTTCTACTAAACTAAACAGTGGTTTCAGCAAAATGTCTGTCGCCTTCTCGAACGGTGACGCTTCCCCCATTGTTCTCCATGGCAAACCTCGGGCACAATGTAAGAAAATTTAGACTTAAAAAAACTTCGAAGGACATGGATTACTATTTTGATAAATTTTATCCTACCCGAAATTACGTGAAATGTGTACGAAATTTATACAAATTTTATTAAAAAAAATAGAATGCTATTTTATATAAAAAAAGTGTGCTATTTTATATCTACCCCGCTCCAATCATGTTGTCTAGCAAAGTTTATAGCATTCCTTTAATCAATTGTTTTGTGTTTTATCTAATTTCTCTCATATATATAAACTTCAGACGCACACTTTACGTTATTATTTCTCATAGCGGTTAAACTTGATAAAGTTACAGTGGACGGAATGAATACCTTTTCATTATATTCAGCAAAAAATTAACAACATACTAACTTTTTATTGCATAGACTTCAAATACATTTAATTATATTGAAATTTGTTGAATTAATTGAATTTACTGAAATTGGTGAAATTTTACTTCAGACGATTTATGTGACAATTTTTAAAAAGAAATTATGTACTACCACCGTCCCTGAATTTACTTCCATAATAAAGTGGCACGCGGATTAAGAAAGTGAGAATTGTGTGGTGGAGAGTTGTGCAGAGGAAAGAGAAATGTTATGAACTACAAATCTTTTGCCAATAAGGGAAAATGAAGTTCTTTTTGGGAAATGACGAAAAGGGAAGTTAGAAGTATTTTCAGGGACGGAGGGAGTATTAAGAAAGGTTGAAATAGTCACTTTAATCAAATTTAGCCAATTCTAGTATAAAATCAATTACTATGTTACTTATTTTGGTTGCTATATAATTTAACACCTGAAATTAAAAATTTGGTGTTTAGTAAACAAAACTTGTCTCATAAGGTATGAGGAAATGTGTATCAACAAGTAGGATTTTGAATGTTATTGATAACAACAAGAACAATAGTTTATGACATGTGTCCCTATGAGAGAATGATTCTTCGTGATTTTTGGTTGAGTTTGATATTTAATGTTTACGCTACTCATCAATGTGGACTCTATGAGCTAGTGAAGAGAAGTTGTTTATTAATATATGAATTTTTGTACCACTCTTATAGCTTCTGCGGACAAACTTGTCCAACGGAACTTAAGATAAGTTAGACGCACGTGTGAAATTAAATAAGAGTCCAAATCAAATATTTTAAGTCCAAATCTTCAAGTATGACCCCAAAGGTTTCTTAACCATATTCCTAAATCTCATTGATGCAAGTCTAGAGATCAAATACAACATACTCCAACTCCATGACTCCCTCGGCATAGATCATCATCCCCTTAAAAGGTGTATTACTCTCAAATCTAGATCCCAACATGCTAATCTTTGGAAAATAACCATGCTTTGAGAACATGTGGAGCAATGATTATGCATGATAATCAGACTGACAATCTCCATACGTCTATTACAAGCATGAATATTATTGAACTTTAAACTTTCAATTTCCAGCCTCACTCACACACACTTTTGCTTGAAATGCTCCATCACAGGTCACTACTTTCACCAATCTCATTTACCAATAGCTAGTCGTTTGCACCATTACAATTCATTATTTATTCAAGATCGTGACCAAACTCTAGTGGTTAAAGCAATATGTTCATATAAAAGAGGAATATTGACGGAATATATGGTTCATGATCCACCGGTCTACATACCCCGCTACCTCAACAGGACCAAGCAGACAACCAAACACCGCAGAATGAACACGCTCGAGCAAGCAACTAAAGCAACACGCTCGAGGGCTATAGCTCAAGGCAACTCACATAATGAACACCGGCACAACCGATCCAAAGGTGAAACCCTCAGCCTCAACCCAAAGGACGCTTTGTCCTTCGTCTTTCAGCACTCAATCACCGCATTTAATGTTCTACCACATGTCTAGATTCGCCTTGCATCGATACTCTTCGCCATAGAATAGCTTACTCGTGTGCGTGCATTTAGTGCACGCAACATTTATGACTAATATATATAACCGTCTCTTGAACAGGTGTAACGGTTCAAAAATCATTATTACGACTGATTTTCTTCGACTGCTGCTTCTTTTTTAAAGAAGAAGCAGAATCAGAATCAGTTTTCAGAAGTTGGACACCCCCAACTTCTAAAAAAACTGATTCTAGGAATAAATTTGAGTACCAGAATCACTTCTGCACTTTCAGCCAAACACTTCAGCTTCTGCTTTTCCTCCCGGAAGGAGCAGAAGCAGTTCTAAGAATCAGATCCAAACACTCCCTTAGTAGAACTTCTTTCATTTTTCTATATATTATGTGACCTTATATCGAATCGAAATTGGTATGAATCATCAAATTAAACTAAAATATAATTAAAAAATCAGCTAAAACCGTGCTATATTTTTGAAAATATAACCAATTCAAATGAAATCTTTCTGCATTGAATTAAATATTTTGGTATGATTTTTATGTGATAATAGGGGCTTCAAACCTAATCGAAAATCAGTAAAAAAACAAAACTAATCCAATATATCCGCTACTACTTCCCGCATTGTCTCCCGACACCAGCGTTTCCAGTCGATTGTTAACTGCAATAGCAGCCACAGTTTGGCAGTGATCTTTCATGGCGATGGTGGCAGTAAGTGAGGCCAGGAAACTCCCTCGCCCTGGAAGGGGCGGCGTGGTGTCCCAAGGGATGTCGGAGGAGGAGGCTCGAGTCCGAGCTATAGCCGAGATCGTCAACAGCATGGTGGACCTTTCCCGTAGGGGCAAGGATGTGGACCTCAACGCTCTGAAGTCAGCAGCTTGCAGAAAGTATGGACTCTCACGGGCTCCCAAGCTAGTGGAGATGATTGCGGCGTTGCCGGAGACAGAGCGTGAAGCATTACTCCCGAAACTCCGGGCCAAGCCTGTACGTACGGCTTCCGGTATTGCTGTAGTGGCCGTCATGTCAAAGCCCCATCGGTGCCCTCACATAGCTACCACTGGAAATATTTGTGTTTATTGCCCCGGCGGGCCAGATTCGGATTTTGAGTATAGTACTCAATCGTATACAGGCTATGAGCCGACCAGTATGAGAGCAATTCGAGCTAGGTAAGCGTGGCTTTAATTCAAATTTGGTTTAAACCTAAAACCCTAGTGCTTTAAGATTGGCAATGTCCATTTGCTATTTGGTGAATTAGAGTGTTAATTTGCACTAAAATTGAAACTAAGATAGATATAGCAATCTATGACTAAGACTCATCTCCTCTCTATCTTAAAAAAATCATTTTTAGTACTCACAAGTCATAAATATGATGTTTAATCTTTGTTGTATCATTCCCTATATATTGTATGACTGGGTTTGTAATTCTAAACATTAAACGCTGTCTTCTTGCTTATAAAAAATGGAAAAAAAAGTAATCTGTTTAATGCAATTGGGGTATATATAAACTATAAAGCTAAAGTTAGGTGTTTGCACTCTTTCAGTATCATAAGTCACAACCAAACTCCCTGACAATATACTGTCATACACACTGATCATGTAGTTGCAATAGTAGGTTTAAGAGGACATGAATAATATTTAGCTCAGCAAGTTATCACTCGCCTTTGCAATTTGGGGTTGGGTCGCCATAACAAGTTAACAAGCATGCTTCAAAGCATGTTCCTTTTCCTTGTTTAGTATCACCCCTTTTTTCTCTCTTTATGCCCTTTTAACCATTGATAACAAATTGCCATATATTTTATGTACACCACCCCTGGGATAAACTATTGAATGTAAGATCTGACTATTTGCCTATTTGGGGATTACAATTAGAATTGAGGCTGGGGGGGGGGATGCCTTATGGTTATCTGGCTATGTTGAGTTCATTGATTTTCTAATGATTAGTGCAGGTATAATCCCTATGTCCAGGCTAGAAGCAGGATCGATCAACTTAAGAGATTGGGTCACAATGTTGACAAGGTTTGCCATCTGATAATAAATGCTATTCATACATATTTATGTTACCCTCGTACCCTTTTTTCATTATTTTGGAATACTTATTTCTGCAGGTAGAATTCATCTTAATGGGAGGTACTTTTATGTCATTGCCAGCAGACTATAGAGACTATTTTATCAGGAACCTCCATGATGCTTTATCAGGGCATACTTCTGCCAATGTTGAAGAGGCTGTTGCTTACTCAGAGCACAGTTCAGTCAAATGTATTGGAATGACTATTGAAACGTGAGTAACTATTATAAATAGTTCATGGCCATGTTACTAATTAATTACCAAGTGTAGTACTCAATGTCAAACAAGTGATTTACTTGTTAGAATGCTACCGGCAGAATTCTTTCTTTTTCAACTGTATAAGCTTTTGTATGAGTGTGTACTAAGATCATTATAAGTACATGTATAAAGTTGAGTTTTAAGTTCTGGCTACATTTGGTAACCATTTCTGACATATTTTGCTTATCATCATGCAAACAAATACTATAATAAGCGAATAAATAGCTTGACTAACTTATTTAGTAGAAATGGGATATTACCAAATGCCTTTCATTTCAGGAAATTCAACACAATATTTCATTTCATTTAAGCCCTTGATGCAGTTGAAGTTTTATTCAACATTCTTTATGTGGATTGTAGGAGGCCAGATTACTGCCTTGGACCGCATTTAAGGCAGATGCTCTATTATGGCTGCACACGTTTGGAAATTGGAGTGCAAAGCACATATGAAGACGTTGCTCGAGATACCAACAGAGGTCACACAGTAGCAGCTGTAGCTGATTGCTTTTGCCTAGCAAAGGATGCTGGTTTTAAGGCACTTACTTTTATTGCTCTATCATGTTTATCACTTATTTACTACACGTGGACCAAATTCGATCTCAAGACAACATAATATCATTTTTTGGCTGTTACTACGGTGTACATTTTAATAACTTTTGGGGCATTCCCTTCAGGTAGTTGCTCATATGATGCCTGATCTTCCAAATGTCGGGGTTGAGAGAGACTTGGAGAGTTTTAAGGAATTTTTTGAAAGCCCTATGTTCAGAGCTGATGGGCTTAAAATTTATCCGACGCTAGTTATTCGTGGTACTGGACTTTATGAACTCTGGAAAACTGGAAGGTGAGGGTCTTTTTGCTGTCATTTTCTACTTTCTGTTTTTGTTATCTTTGGGAGCCAAAACACAAATATGAAAACCAGGAAAAATGGTTTTGAGTTATTTGTTGGTAGTTTTAGAATTAACAGATTAGTACTTCCTTGGCGCAGTTTGTTGTTTCTCCTAATTTTGCACTGTTTCTAGGAAATGAAGTTTATGGGGGAGAGATTTGGAAAGGAAAAATTATTAAGAATCACATAACCTTTCTTTCCTCAAATGGAAAGTGGGTAGATCTTTTTGGGACAGGCGGAGTATAAGTATGACTACTTCTTAGTTCATTATATATTATGACCTAAAATTTATGTTATTATTACTACCTCCGTCCCCCTAAGTTTGGGACAAGAGAAGGTGGCACGGTTATTAATAAAAGTGGGTTTATGTGATTGATATTGAATTAATAAAGTAAGAATAAAGTAGGAATGATTTAGAACCACACAAACTTTACCAAATAAGGTATGGGACAATCTTAGTGGGACAGACCGAAATGGTAAAATGGGACAATCATAGCGGGACAGTGGGAGTATATCATAATCTTGTTGTGGGACATTTTTCATGGATTTGACTGTTTTAGGCTTTATATTTTCACATAATTGACGCCAAATGATTTCCCTTGCTACTAACCTATATTCACGCAATATGTCCATGTGTAAGTCATGAGATTATTATTTTTATAATGAAGTTCTTTACTTGTTTGTCATGATGTGCAGATATAGAAACTACCCCCCTGAACAGCTGGTTGACATTGTTGCTCGTATCCTTGCATTGGTCCCACCATGGACGCGTGTTTATAGAGTTCAGCGGGACATTCCTATGCCTTTAGTTACTTCGGGAGTTGAGAAGGGGAATCTTCGTGAGTTGGCCTTAGCTCGGATGGATGATCTTGGCTTGAAGTGCCGAGATGTTAGGACACGTGAAGCTGGAATCCAGGTGATTAATATTTTTAACTATGACTTTGGAGGTCCATTTAGAATTTGATAAGTGATAGGCACATAAAATAATCAGCAAAATATGGGGAAAATTTGAATGAAGAGAAAGTGCATGGAGGGAATTTTTATTGGTTCAGACTATTTTTTTATATGTTGTCTCTCTCGTTTTTTTTTCTGTTATCTAAAGGTGAATTTTGAACATATGTAATATTACTTAGGATGTTTTTACTTGGACTGTAATCTGCTGGTCTGGTCTGATCTGGTCTGGTCTGGTTTCTTTGTATTTTTATAATTATCCAAGTCTAGTCTGGTCTGAACTGGTCTGGACTGGACTGGTCTGGGACAAATTACAGTCCAAGTAAAAACATCCTTAAAAACACAAGCCATATATAATTTTCCTTAACCTATCCCGAGGATAAACCAAACATAAGAAAATGAGTTTTCATAGCAGTTTTTCTTCTTGACCAAGCAAATTCTGTGATCCAAACATACCTCAGATTTATAATTATTTGAGACTGATTGCTAAAAGTGTGCCACTCATTTTCCTTATTTTAGTTGTTTTTGATTTAGTTGCCTAATTTTGTAAACATTGTTTTTTTGTCTGATATTAGGACATTCACAATAAAATAAAACCTGAGGAAGTGGAACTTAATCGCCGTGACTATACAGCAAACGAGGGCTGGGAAACATTTATCTCATATGAAGATACACGACAGGTTTGCTTTAAGTCAATCTTCTCACTCTTCCCTTTCTCTGCATTCTTCATTGCATCTTTCTGCTCCACAGACCAAATCAAAGAATCATAAAAAGGAAAAATCAGGTCCTTAGTCCCCCAACTGTTATTGCATTATGTAATTTGGGGGGACCTGTATTGCAATTTTGGTCGATTAGTCACTCAAATTTATACCTTGCATACAATTTGTCCCTTGTTAAAATATCGATTTACACTGTTACATGTTAATTCTACGGAGTGCCCCTTTGAACCATAATACTGAACATTGATTTTAAGGGGCAAAACTAATGTTATCTCAGTTACAACAATTGAGGGATTGGTAAATTTAGACATTTTGACTGAGGTAAAATTGATCAAGGTGCAATCATGGGCATATGCAGAACCAATATGATTTGGAATTTGGGAATGATGATACAAATCATCCATACAATCTTTAACAGTAAAATTTTATACTTAAATGTTCTTTTTCAACCAAACTTATGGAGGGTTAGGCTCGGCTTGGCTCATCTCAGCCTGGCCCACCTAAAACTTATTTCCATGGCTATTTGTAGTAATTGACCAAAACCGCTGTCACTTGGCTTTACCTGAATTGTACTTAAAATTGAAGTTCAATTTTATCTGGATTTTCTTTTGGGGACCAAAAAGCTTCTGAAACAAGTCTCTTTTTTTGTGATGGAAGGGGAGGAAATGTTTCTGAGAACTATTAGGACGTAAAACGAATTCAAGTACTCTGTATTACAAATAGTTCTCTATAGGGTGGAAGACAGGGCAATTAAAGGGAGAAAATCTCATGTTGACCTTTCCTTTTGGATGGGATGCAGGATATACTTGTAGGTTTACTTCGTCTGAGGAAATGTGGAAAGAATGTGACATGTCCAGAATTAACAGGGAGGTGTTCTATAGTACGGGAGCTCCACGTATATGGGACTGCGGTTCCTGTTCATGGGCGTGATGCAGACAAGTTACAGCACCAGGGGTACGGAACCTTGCTCATGGAAGAGGCTGAGCGCATAGCTCGTAAGGAGCATAGATCTAAAAAGATTGCTGTCATTTCAGGCGTGGGGACCCGGCATTACTACAGGAAGCTGGGATATGAGTTAGAAGGTCCTTACATGGTTAAGTGCCTTTAATGAGAGATTCACTCAGGAAGGAGATTTGATTTGTATGTAGGTAATGTAGCTTGCGGTTTCTGTTTGCTTCTACCCATACCCACTCGTCAAGCTGGCATAGATATCACTTCGTAGTTTGTACATTGTGAAGCAAAATAGTTCGTCTTACACTAATCACTCTCACAAGAATCTATATATTGGGGTGTTTGGCACTTTGGCAATCCGTTGTTGGCGGTTGGCGGTTGGCTGATTGCTGGTTGGTGTTGGCTATTGGCGAAATCTGTTGGCTGTTTCGATTAGCAGATAGTATTAGCGGTATATAAAATGATGTTTGGTTAAATAGCTGTTTATAATCAACTCATAATTTGTTAAAAGACTTTTAAGTTTTAAGGACATCAAATAATTTTTTTATTTACTAACTACTTTTTTACAGTACATTTTATTAATCATATTAGTACAATCACGTACACCATTTTTTTTAAACAAAAATTACTCTGTATAACACAATTAACAATTTTGTTAAACATTGATTTTCTTGTATTTTTATTTTTAAGGACATCAAATAATTTTTTTATTTACTAACTACTTTTTTACAGTACATTTTATTAATCATATTAGTACAATCACGTACACCATTTTTTTAACAAAAATTACTCTGTATAACACAATTAACAATTTTGTTAAACATTGGTTTTCTTGTATTATTAAGTCAAATTAGTACTCCGTATGGTTATATATTAAATGGAGTAACAAGTAATGAGTAGGTAAAAAACAAAGAGTAGAAGATGTCCATTTACTCTATTATTTCTCTGCTCTCACTTCTCACAGTATGTCAGATTGGCAAGGAGAAGACCACTCAGTGGAAGAGAAACGAGAGAGTAGTCCACCAGTAAAATAGGAATGCCCATGGATTGCGAACGGCCTAACATCTAAACGCTACCTTGACTGGCGTTTTAATTTTTAGTTGTTTGGGGTTAAAAAACCAAATTAAAAAGCTATTAACTAAACACCCCTATTAGTTGATTGATGTGGTAAAAAAGCCAAATAACAGTCAAACAGCCAAAAAATTGGCCGATAGGCTATTAACCAAACACCCCATTGTTATATTTTCATACTTTTATGGAGTAATACTTGAGTTGAGTATGTTCTGGTCCGGCCGATGCCATTTTAGGGGCTTCCAAGTGGAATTTTGTGAGCATGTTTTTCATGAATTGTAGATTATCTCCACAAAATTTCAGCTTAAAATTCAATCGAGAAGTAAATTAAATAAATTCTCGAAAGTTACTGTGCAAAAATATTCATAAAAAATGCAGTGTTTTTTAACAATTTATTTTACAGACTTTCCGATTGAGTTTTAAGCTAAACTTTTGTGTGAATGTTCTACACTTGATGAAAAACATGTTTACAAAGTTTCATAAAAAAATGCGACCTAGAAGGCCCTAAAACAGGCTTGACCGGACGACAGTTGCTTTCAGTCGAGACTGACATGAACATTCCACTACTTGAGTTAATTTGATGTAGTGACGGGCACATGTGTGTGCAAAAGTACTGACAAAAATAAGATTGGGTGTAATATTTTGTAGTTATAAGGTAGTTTCTAAATATAGTTTGTAAATGTAACGTTTCATCGCCACAACTGTTAGCAAAACAGCAGTTTGATCTTCTTTATCTTCATTCAATATTTTAAAAATGTTAAGTTTTGCTCTTAAAATATCATAAAATGGCATTGTTGCACTTTGAAAATGTTATCGTTCTTAAAATAAGATGGCATTTTTCGAGTGACTGAAGGTAGCAGAGCTGGAAAGCACTTGTGGCAGAGGATGACATTTTTTTACTTTTAGTTTATGTTTATCATTATAAATTATAAATACTACATATAAAATATAATTTTGTCCTACAAAATAGTTCTCGGTTTGATTTGGATTGAAATTTAAGAAAATGAGAATAAAGTGAAAATGTATGGTTGTGATCACGTAAAAAAAATAAATGAATGTTAGACACACAAAACTTTCCAAATAAGGAAATGAGAATTTTTTTTTGGAACTGCCCAAAAAGAAAGGTGACAACAATTTTATGGGACAAAGAGAGTATTTTGGGAAGTTGAAACATATATTCCCATTCTTATCATTTCACCTAATATATTCTTGTTTAGGTAATTTTATCAAAGAAGATTCATTTTAGCCCCACATACACAAGAATTTCACACTATCCTTTTTTTGGGTCTTTCCTTGAGTCATCACAAAAAAAACTTTCCTTGAGTCTTTTACTTGCGATAATTATATGGAGCAATATATGACTCCACTATGAAGTCATATGACTTAAATGGCTTCATAACCACTTATTTTTATAATGGGTGACAGATTATTAAATCATTAACTAAATGTGTAGTTATCATGTGGAACCATACAGGAATCCATAAGTTTTGATATTGTTGTGTGATGGAAATGCACAATAAAATATAATAGCGAAATAGTGCAAAACTGAGAATCATTGAAGATATTGAAGACATCGACGTAATATTTGATTTTCATATGTTCATGTATAATCATGAATTCATATTGACCTCTCTTTGAATTTTTAATCTTAGATTTAATTTCCCTAAAACAGTAAAACCGGTTGCAAATTTTAAAATATGACTACTATATTTTTATTCACTAAATAACGTAATCAATGTCATTCTGATATCACTAGACTTTAAATATTGCAATACTTTTCAAACTTGATAGTAATTACTCTTGTTTAGTGAATAAAAACATATTACTTCTATTTTGGAATTACAAAACGTGTTTACTCATATTTTTGGAATTTTCCTATATATACCATCTTGGTCCCTCATAACTTCTTATTATTTCTTATTATTTTTTTAACTTCTTATGGTTTAAATTGGCTAGCGTTTTGGCTATCAAGTGGCACACCAAAAAATAAAGTAATCATATTTTGAAATTCACAACAGGAATTGTTTGCAATAACAAGCGTTTTGGTGCGTAGTGGCGGTTGACTCTGTTATGCCAATGACGGGGGACCTTTGTGACAACGAAGATGGACCTTTGGAGGGGCTGGACAAACTGCACTTTCCTTGCCAGTGGCTGGAAAAACTGGATCTCGTTATTCTTACATTTGATCTATTTCCCAGAACTCTTTAGTTACTTTTATCATTCATTCTAGTAGCAGGTGCAATATTGTTTTTAGTGGAGTCTATCATCTTGTGGAGTTAGCGAGTTGGGTCCATTTCAACGGTCTTCCAGCTCTATGTCTCATCCCAGTGTAGCCTTTAACGTGACAACTTCGTATCTGGTTCTTGATTTTAATATGAATTAAGTTATCTTTTTCCAAAAAAAAAAACAATATCTCAAAGAACACGTACGTAGTTGCTTTGTAATAATATTGAAAATTAAAGAACATCACATAAAGTACTGATTGGAAGAGTTACAAAATTACTAAATCATGATTTGCTCCATCATGCAAACATCTGCAGTATAGGATGAAGTAAAAGCAATTTAGCAATTAACACCATGAATGTCGTCGTTGCCGGGCCGGGACAATTGCAGTTGCTGTCTCATAACTGTCAACTACTCCGTAGTCCGTAGTATTTTATTCGACGGTGTAGAACTAATACGAAGTACATACTAATGCAATATAAGTAGTACGAAGTACTTTCCATGTCTCTTAAAATTTTGTCAAGTTTGACCGGCGCAATTAGGATTAATAAAGTAAAAACTAATGTGTAGAGGAAAAAGTGACAAAATTCATGTGACAACCAAAAAAGGAAAGATGACAAGTTTTAATTAAGGGACAGAGGGATCATTATTTAAGAAATTACCCGGTAAAAACATTTGTGAATTCTAAAACAGGGCTGCCATACTTTTATTCTTTAACTAGTACCACGTAGTAATTTGTCATGTATTGACATTATCGAAGATTAAACATGACAACATTATCAAAGTTTGACAGTAATTACTCCTGTTCAGAAAATAAAAACATGATAGTTCTATTTTGAATTTTGCATATATTATATCTTTTGGAGTACGAGTAGTTATTTAATTTCCACCCGTCCCATTAGACTCTTTGCCCTTGCGTTTTCTTTCAAATATACAACAATACACTATTAAACCAACAACAACAGCAATAACAATGAGACTACCAAATACAGAACCCCCAAAAATCCAACTTGATTTACTGCCTACATCAAGCAAATGTCTTCGTCCAGCAGCCGGACCGGCAACATTGCAGGATGAGACGTGAAGGAGGAGGAGGTCGAGGAAGGGAAGAAACACAAAATATTTTGATCTTCTACTCATTTTGATCGATGCTGGCTGGATATCTTACTAGTTCTCTATTAAATTGTTATACTCCGTACGTATAATATTTCGATTTAAATAGAGAGCATAGCAATGGTTGGGTTCCATCAGTAAAGTCTTCCATGCACAGAGAAAATAAAACAGAGCCTAGCCTGTATAGCCAGTCGCCGTTTGTTTTAGTTCATCCCGGCCCTAAAAGAGAAAAGAAGGATGCTATAATCTTACATTAATTATTAGTTAGCAATCAATAACGTATTACGTATGTGCCTACGCTACGTACGTCCATATTAATACTTCGTATTTTTTTATCTATTGGCCGGAAATTACAACCGAGTATACAGATTGAATTGCAAATTGAACTATTCTTAATATTATTTTTATCTATTTTTTGAAAGAAATATTGTTTTATCTATTGAACATTACGGTTTAACTTGCAAACAACAACTTATTAACGGTGGTAAACTTGATATCATTATAATCTCTTATTTTATTCATTTTTTTGGATCATAAAAAGAGAGACTATTATATTAAGATCGAGAGCACATACAACACAACCTTCAAACGGTATTTAGAGATCCAATTGTGAACTATAGGAATAGACTTATAGTCAGTCACCTGACTCACCTCATACAAAACAACATAACTTGCTAAATCTAAAACAGACAAATTTAGGCTTAAAAGGAACCAAAACTTTACCTATAAAAAAAGCTCCAAAAATCCTAACATTCAAACCAAATCTAGTTGGACTAAAACAAAAACAATTGTTACTAAAGACAAAAGGGAAAAGGTGCAAATAGGCCCATGTACTAACAAAAAAGGTCAAATAAGCCCTTATTTAGGAAGTTCTGTCCGGCCGTCGTCATTTGAGGTGGTTCCCGGTAGAATTTTTTGATAAATTTTTTTGAACATCTTATTCATCAAGTCTAGTTTGCTCATACCAAATTTCAGCTAAAACTTCAATCGGGAAGACATTCAAATGAATTCTTGAAGATAACTGCGCAGTTATTTTTGAGCCTTTTTAAGTCCATTTTCTTACCTCTTCCATGTGAATATGTGATTCACTTTACAGGAAAAGATTGAAAAGTAAGATAACATTAATTCAATCTTGATCGCTGAATATG